AGCACCATTGTTTCTTTCTTTCTTTTTTTAATTTTTATTTTCCATCCATAGAATCAATAAGAGATTAATATCGCATTTTGAAAGCCTTAAATAAATCAGTAACCTTTGTTTCTTAAAGCTGAGTATTATTACCCCATGGTGTACATAGACCACATTTTATTAATCCACTCATGAATTGATGGGCACTTGGGTTGTTTCCACATCTGTGCAATTGTGAATTGTGCTGCTACAAACATTCGAGTGCAGGTGTCTTTATTGTAGGTTGTGCTTTGTTCTTTTGGGGTAGAGGAAGGGGATTGCTGATCAAAAATGGTAGCTCCACTTGTATTGCTCTAAGAGGTATATTTGCTTCCCACAGAGGTTGCACGTGTTTGCAGTCCCGCCAGCAGTTTCTCTTTGATTATCTTGGGGAGGGAGGCGTTGATGAGCAATCCATCTTCTGCTACTAAGAGAGGCACACACTTCCTCTTTTCTGCTGCTGCTGCTATCACGATTCCTTTCCACCCATGCCAGCTCCTTCACGCCCCCCAGCCTTCCCTCCAGACCCCACCGGTAGAAGCAAAAGGAAGAAACTTTTCCCAGCGTGGGGGATTACATTCATTGGAAAAAAAAAAAAAGTAGGCGATGTTGCTCTTTTAAGGGCAGCAAAAGGTATTGGAAAGTGGTCATTACATGCAGTTTAATATCTTAAAGGCATTTAGAAAACAAACTACAGTGTGATCTCTTTAACTTCGGAGAGAACTAGGGAAATATAGAGATAGCATCCAGTCCCGGCTTTTTTAAACACGAGGTTAAGGCTCCACTTTTGCAGAAGCCTAGCAAAGCTCAGTTCCATTTTTAATAATTTATATTTCAAATTCATATTCGTATGCATGCCTGCGTGCCCTCCTCTCAAATCAAATAAGCAGAGAGATGGGTGCTTCATTTTTTTTTTTTTTTGAGACAGAGTCTCGCTCTGTTGCCCAGGCTAGAGTGAGTGCCGTGGCGTCAGCCTAGCTCACAGCACCTCCAACTCCTGGGCTTAAGCGATCCTCCTGCCTCAGCCTCCCAGGTCGCTGGGACATACATGCATGCGCCACATGGCCCGGCTAATTTTTTCTATTTTTAGTTGTTTGCCTAATTTCTTCCTATTTATAGTAGAAACAGGGGTCTTTCTCTTGCTAAGGCTGGTCTCGAACTCCTGAGCTCAAGCGATCCTCCCACCTCGGCCTCCCGAAGTGCTAGGATTACAGGTGTGAGCCACCGCGCCCGGCCAGAGAGGGGTGTTTCTTAGTAAAGAAATTGGCCGGGATGGGCAGGGTGGAGGCCGGGAGCCTCCCAACTGTGTGCTTTTCCAGAAACGCAGCCCTGGGGTGAGGCTGTGGGAAAGTTCCCACAGGGGTTTCCCATGCTCAGGGCTGTCATTTCTCTGGGCTGTCACTTCGTCAGTCTTTGGCCACGGTGAGTAAAGGAATCGTGTGACTCTTGGGGCTGGTCGTTGGGGTCTTCAGCTGCCACTTGGCAAAACTGTGGGATGAATTCCGCCAGTTGGCGGTCTCGCTGCACGTGCAGAATGTGGACTGGATCCGCATGGATTGCCTAGGTCTCACTGCACGCTGCAGGAATGTGGGACTGGATCGCAGTTGCGGGTCTCACTGCACGTGCCAGAAACGTGGCTGATCATGCAGTTGCGGGGTCCTCACTCGCACATGGCAAAACTGTGGAGCTGATCTTGCAGTTGCGGCGTCACTGCACGTGCAAAACGTGGACTGATCCGCAGTTGCGGGTCTCATGCCGACGTGCAGAATACGGGACTTGATCTGCAGTTTGCGGGGTTCACTGGCACGTGCCAAAAACGTGGGCTGGTATTCTGCCAGGTTCGCGGGTTTCCACTGCCAGGGGCAAACTGGTGGACTGATCGCCGCAGTTTGCCGGGTTCCACTGCCACATGCCACGAATGGTGGGACTGATCTGCAGGTTGCCGGCGTCTCACTGCACGTGCCAGGTGTGCGACTGAGTCTGCAGGTTGATCGGCGTTCACATGCATCATTGCAAACACGTCGGACTGATTCCGCAGGTTTCGGGGTCGTCATCTGCACTGCCAGGAATCGCTGGCACTGATCTGCAGTGTGGGTCGTCCACTGCACGTGCAAAATGTGGACTGATCTGCAGTTGTGGGTCTCACTGCACGTGCAAAACGTGGACTGATCTGCAGTTGTGGGTCTCACTGCACGTGCAAAACGTGGACTGATCCGCAGTTGCGGTCTTCACTGCCCACCGTGAAAACGTGGGGACTGATCTGCCAGTGCGGTGCTTCACTGTCACGTGCCAAAACGTGGAGCGATGCTGCCCTGGTGGAGTGGATGACTGTCCCGTGCACTCCACCGCACCCTGTCGCTGGAAATTGCATTTTCCGTCTTGCCCGTCTGCTCGGTGTAACTCTCACAAAGCTTATCTCCTTCAAGTTCCTCTTGATAAGAGATCGTGTTTATGTGATTCTAGTTATTTCCACTTTCATAAAGATACAAAGTGTCATAAAAAAAAATGCCCTGAACCCATCAAGTGTCTAAGTGAGAGCCTCAGAACACACACGTACACACAGCACCACGCCCCTAGTGGTAGAAGCAAAGTGCTACTATTAATAGTTAGTGTTAACCATAGACACCCAAGAATTAAAACCGAGGCTGGGCCGGGCGTGGTGGCTCAGGCCTGTAATCCTAGCACTCTGGGAGGCCGAGGCGGGAGGATCGCTCAAGGTCAGGAGTTCGAGACCAGCCTGAGCAAGAGCGAGACCCCGTCTCTACTAAAAATAGAAACCAATTAATTGGCCAACTAAAAATATATAGAATAAATATACAGGCATGAGCCACCACGCCCGGCCTGATAAAGCAATTTTCAATGACTTGGGCCAGGGCATGGCTGTGTCACCCCAAATACAGTGATGTTCCTCTCTCTACTGTTCCTTCTATTCTTTATCATATGCATAGCTACCAAAAAAAAGTAACCTTATTCTTTATATGACTTTTTGGGTGCAATGTAGCTGGCTGGAGTTTGCATCTGCGATTGAGTAAATGGAGTCTTGCTTGGTTTGATGATCGATGCTTTCTTTTTGGGGACTGTCACCAAGAAATTGAAGAAGTTGTACAAAGTGTGTATCTGTGAGAGAGAGGCATGTTGTAGAGGTTTTGGGGGTTAAGGACAGAACAATTTCCTCTTGAGGAATTAAAGGATTTTTCTGTGAAATGTAAATATAGTTCAAAAAGACCTTAAAGGATTTAATCATTTTGATAATGATCATGATAGTGTTTGTGTTTTTCAATACTTAAAAAACTTAATGGAGGCTGGGGGTGGTGGCTCACGCCTGTAATCCTAGCACTCTGGGAGGCCGAGGCGGGAGGATTGCTTGAGCTCAGGAGTTCGAGACCAGCCTGAGCAAGAGCGAGACCTCGTCTCTACTAAAAATAGAAAGAAATCAGCCAAACAACTAAAAATAGAAAAAATTAGCCGGGCATGGTGGCGCATGCCTGTAGTCCAGCTACTCGGGAGGCGGAGGAAGGAGGATCGCTGGAGCCCAGGAGCCTGAGGTTGCTGTGAGCGAGGCTGACGCCACGGCACTCACTCTAGCCCAGGCAACAGAGTGAGACTCTGTCTCAAAAAAAAAAAAGTTAATGGAAAACAGGATTTAGAGAATTATTCAGGAAATTGTAATATTTTGAGTCAGTAATTTTATTAATCAATATTACTATTAATAACATTTTTTCTTGTGTCTTAGGATTGCTTGGTAATGCTTTTTCTTTTCTTCTGCCAACAGAAAAAATATAGAAAGGGGTTTATCGATATTGCGAAAATCAAGTGTGTGGAAATAGTGAAGAATGATGGTGGTGTCATTCCCTGTCAAAATAAATACCCGTTTCAGGTGAGCTGCCGTGTTTTTGCAATAATGCGGAGCTGGGCTTTTAGTCCTGTCTGCTGTCTGACATTAGCGTGTGCTCTGGTGGCTGACTTTTAGGTTCATTTCCACTTACTAGTTACTGCTTTGCTTCATAAATGGCTTAGGTCATTGTTGAAACTTCTCATTCTCGTTAGGGCTGCTAGATTCCACCGAAGGTGCTGAGTTTCCACACCCAGATCTGAGTTGCTTACTCAGATTTGTTTATCCCAGAGCAGTTAGAATAAGGAGTGAGGAGGGAGCTGGGACTGAAAACAAGGGGCGTGAAGTTTTCCTTGTGAATCTGAAAAGCCTGAACGTGGCAGCGTAAGTCAGCCTTTCCTAAGCAGAAAGAGACGCAAAAGGCTGCCGGGGTGAAATGACCCACTATTCACGTCCACCCTATTGAATGGACGTCTTTTTCAAAGGGTGATCATGTAGGCCGCGCGTGTGTGGCTTCCACGCCTGTCACCTAAACGGCACTCTGGGAGCCAAGTTGAAGGATCGCTCCGAAGTCAGGAGTTCGAGAACCCTGAAGCAAGAGCGAAGAACCTGTCTCTACTTAAAATACAAGAAATAATATAATATTGGCGCAACTAAAAATAATAACCAAAAAGAGCGCGGCATGGTGCGCATGCTGTATCGCAGCACTATGGGAGGCTGAGGAGGAGGATGTTGAGCCCAGGAGTGCTGGAGGTGCTGGAGCGAGGCTGATGCACCGGCACTCACCTACCGCCTGGGCCCACAAAAGTGAGCACTCTGTCTCAAAAATAAATAATAAATAAATAGAATATAAAATCAAAAATAAAAGGGTGATCGCGTCCAATCCTTTTTTTCCTTTCTAACAGTGACGCGTATGCGAAGGGTAAAAACCATCACCGCGCTGTTCTCATTACGGCGCGGGGAATCAGAAAAGGCTAAAACCGGCTGT